AGTTGTCATCTTAGATAACGTTTAGGAGAGGAATTCATTATATAAAATCCAGTAAGGCTGTATTCAGTTTTTTCTCCATAAACGTGACTAATCCATTGTTAAAATTACATTAGTTTACAGTTTATGATATTTGGCTGTAGTACATTTCTAAACTCTAAATTATCTTTAATGTTTGCTATATTGTTACTGGTTTTTAATTTTGCTTGCAGGTTCAGTAGAGCAAAGAAAATGTGATATAAATAAATAAAATTATTTTTACTACTACTACAATGACCACTACTACTATTTTACAATACATTTAATAAATCCTTGAGAATCCATCATTATGGGTGGCTACCATGACTATCTATTGTTCAAGGTTTTCAAACAAGGAAGAGTTGTTTGAAATATGAGATAATTTTTTCTCTTCGTTCTGTGTCTTCTTACTTATTAAACAACATCTATCCTCTATTTCTAATTAACTGCTACAAACACTAAGGGTAGAATTTATAGTCACATTCAGATAAGTTAGTCATTTTTTAGACAACAGTTTGCCTTCCTGTGAAAATGGCATTTCGCCAAAGAAAAAGGGAAACAAAGGTTAAAATAGATGGATGTATATTTTGGGACTCTAACCTCACTTTTGCCTTGTATTCTGTCGAAAAGTTATTTATCTGTGATTGGACCTCTACTATTTTAGTAGCCAAATCAATCTTATTCTCCCAAGGTGAACTTCCCCAAAATCCAAATGCAACCACCAATTTACAGAAATGTGTAGTTTAGTCTTCTAACTTTTGTTTTTTTTCTTTTTTTATAATATGCCATAAATACAATTTAACCTGGAGACATTTTCCTACCATTTATGAAAGCCCACCTTTAAAAGAAGAAAGGAGGGGCAGATGTTTTAAAGGTGGGCTTTCATAAATGGTAGGAAAATGTCTCCAGGTTAAATTGTATTTATGAATGATAGTTGGCAGAATATGATTCTGATCCTTTTCACCTCATTTACAGTATATCAGGCTGGCCTGTATAGGCCCAAATATACTGTATCCATTTGTGAATGTAATTGTCCACATATTCCAGCAGCAAACTCAAAACCTTCGGTAGGTTTCCAAGTAATTGCAACTAAACAAAATATATAATACTTTCCATAGGTTCTAATTTATAATAAAAATACTGTATCTCCTTCTTCCCTTTTATCCTTGAAATTTCTTCAGGTATTTCTCCTCCATTCTTTGTGTGGTCCATCGTCTGTCACTGATACTAAAACCCATCCTACTAATTTGTTTCCCTGTTTCATTATTATTGTAATATCCTTTCAGTTTCTCATTCAGTGAGCAGCAATTTCTTACTTCCACCTTTGGTTGCTCTATCACTGTCATTCATGAAATCTGGAGCATGAGCGCTCAGGACAAACCTTTTGTGGCATCACTAAAATGATCTCCTGGATCCTGGTTTGGGTGGAAATTAATATTTTTATAGTTTGGCGAACATTCGTATGCTGTGTCCTCTTCCAACGATTGGTGGTTTTCAAAATATGACATAAAACATATTAATAAAAATGTAACAATCATCCATAAAAAGCAAAAAAGCATATTAAAAATAATAAATAACTTTGTAAATGTATAAATAACTGCCAACAAATGCCTCTGAATAGTCCCTTAAAGAAGATTTAACCTTGAGGGTCAAGCACATCCAAAGAAGTGGATTGAACCTCTAGGTTGCAATCCCTGAGATTTAAGAGTGGGTACTTAGAACAAAGGTTGAATCTACAAGAAGAAAGCAACAAGGATGAAAGGAGCAAAAGATTTCATAGGTGATCACCAGCCTCTTGAATTGGACCCTGTGTAGTCCCCCTGCATTTTGCTACTGCCAGTCAGCAAGCTGGCCATTACATTTTTTGTTGGCTATAAGGCCTGACTTGCCTTCAAGGAAGCTTCACACACATCATACTCAATTTTTAGGGAGATTCTCAATCATCCAAGTCATGAGAAGCAAAATGTTTTCAAGAAAAAACCAAGAAAGTCCAGTTGCCTTTTGGAAAAGCACCCTTGGGACATCAAACTCAATTGTCTAACTGAGAGATGACAATGTTTTCTGGTTTAACAATGGGTGCCACTGACAAACCTGCTAATTCTGGACAATTCTTTCCTGGTCATGAATTGCGTTTGCTGTTCTAGCAGGAGCCACCACTCTAGGAGAATTTTCAGACTGGCACCACCACTTTTGTGGGAAATGCTAGCACATCAAGAGCTATAGATAGAACATCCATCCAAAACATTTTTGAATCATTTCCATCTTGCTGGAATTCACTTACACTCTGTTTTCTCCCATACCTGAATTATATCCCTCACAACCTTCAGGCATACACATTTAGGCAAAAGTATGAACCGAGGTGGAGTGCAGTACTGCAGGCCACTTTAGCTGACTATGTTCAGCAGGTCAGCGGTTCAAATCTCACCGGCTCAAGGTTGACTCAGCCTTCCATCCTTCCGAGGTAGGTAAAATGAGGACCCAGATTGTTGGGGGCAATGTAATATATATATATACATTGCTTACTGGTGTACACCGCTTAGAGAGTGCTTGCACTTAAAGCGGTATATAAGTCTCATAAATAAATAAATAAATAAATAAATAAATACAGTATGACAAACTTTCATGCAGAGGTGCATGTTCAACACATGAATGACGGCAATAACACATTCTAGATTTTGGATCAAGCATTATTAGGAACATTCTGCTAGGGATGAATTCTTCCATTAAATCGAGCATAATATCAAAATCTCCACTGATGAACAAATTTACAAATACTTTCTGTATCTGTTGGTTCATTCAAAGCATCTTTTTTGAATGAGGGCATCTGCCATAAGAGACTACTGCACTGTTGATGCCTTTCTCTCATACTTCCACTTTTTCTAAGTTATCACTGAGATTCTGCGCTATTTCTTGTCCCCTTTACTCATTCATCAAAGTAAGAACTTGGTAGAACTTTGTATTATTTCATTATGTTTTTTTTAAATAGACGAAAAGCTACTTTTATTACAGCCTTTACTGTACTGTACCAATATTCTGTTGGTGGTAATTAAAAGATGATAAAATTACTACACGATGTTTATTCTGTCCAGTAAAGTATAATGTATAGATAAAATATATCTTAAAAAAATTTATAAGCAGTGCTTAGAAATAATTGTCCAGAGTGAAGTTTACTTGAAAGAGAGGTATTTTTCCTTGCAACATATTCCTGTCACTGGAGAATCATCAACTACATTAAACTGAATTGTTGTCATAAATAGTATAGACACAGCTTGGTTCAGTTGAACTAATTTAACAACATATGAAACAAAATGTTGGTATTTTTAAACTATCAATAGCTACTGTTAATCCAGAGGATGCACACCAGAAGATTGCTGGAAAGGAGATAGAGCAGACATCCAAGCATGTCTATTAAACAAAAGGAAAAGCAATCCAGAAAGAAGATTTTCTTGCTAGACTCAGCTCTCCTCCTCCCCAAATTAGGTATGTAAGAATGAACCTTTGATCTTTGTTACTCACTTTTAACTTTAGACAAATTTTGAAATTTTGAAATGTGGAGCCATACTTTCTAGCACTAGTGGTCAAAGCAGAATTCTATATGTCTACCCTGTGGATATCTTAGCAAATAAATTATTAAAAAGAGGGAGAACAAATGTAGAATCAAAACTGAGAACCAATGAAGAATTAAGAACATTTTTTGTTGGAAAGGAGAACAAAGCACAGAAAACAAAAGATGTACAAAATGTGAATGGAAAACTCCCATGAAAATACATGAGGTTTCTCTTTGAACACCAGGTAATATTATGCACATTTTGAGAAATAGGAATTTAAATTGCACCAATGAAACTCTACAATCTTTTAGTAATTGACTAATAATTGTTTAATTTAAGAGAAAGGAGGCTATCAATATCAGGGAGACTTATGAAATTAGTTGACATGTGGCAATTAATTACTAGAAATTAATGTTTGCTATATCTGAATATGAAACTGTATTTCAATATTTGCCAGCCCAATTGCATTTCTTTAAAAAGAAGAAATTCAAAAGACATAATTAGTTAAACTGTGAATACACTTCTCTAGGCTGTCCAGATTAAGTTTTTTTTAAAAAAAAAAACAAAAAAAAACTATCGTTCTTTGGAGGATCAGAGATCTATATTCTAAAACAAATGCAGCATTCATTCAGTTCATTAGTTAATTTAAGAAATTAACTAATGTACTGAAGATTAAAGCTATAGTTTTAAACAAAGCTGAGATTCAGGTTATGTACCATGCACCAAATATAATTAATAATTAGGCATTAACCACTGCAGCTGCAAGAGTCCAAACTTGGTTTAGATAGATACAGACATGTGAGGATTAAAATGCTTAGAAAACACTGGGAAAAATAAGCCCTAGGACTTTCTTGAATCATGGTTCCCAGCAATGTGATAATGTCAGCACATGTCTCATAAGATTAGGTACCTTTTCTGTTCCTGCATTTGTGGAAAGCCCTGAAGAGTTTTGACCCAATTAACAACCTTTATAACCCATTCTCAAATATGATTACTCAGAGGTTTTAGTAAATGTTTTTGCAATTGCACTTTTGGTGATGACTATTACAGATTTCTTTAGTGACTCTCAATATTAAGGATGGAATTCGTATTTTTTTAAAAAAAATCTCAGTAAATGATTCCCAAACAGCCATTAAACAGATATGCGACACAAAAACTGATACAGGGAAAACCGAGGCACTATGTGAGAAGTTTGTGGGGTGTGTGCAGGTTTGTGTGTCGGACAGCTATTATTAACCCATCTGTGCTCACCATTCAGTTACAGCAAACAAAAACAGTGAGACTGTATATACATTGAGTCCTTCATTAAACTATTGATTCCCCTTAGCATTATCCATAACATTCCAGCGACTCAGCATGTCATCTGGTGCAGAGCGAGTCTCTTTCCTTTCAATACTTCTGCAGTTTACAGAGAGAGGATCACTATGATTTATTTACCTGACATTTTCCAGTCCGGATGTCATAGAGGGCCACTGATCCATGGCGAGATCCAACTGCTATTCGATGACTCCGCTCATAATAGCTGACCATGTAGAACCTGAATTGAACATCAGAGCAAGGAAAAAGTCAGATCTCATCGGATTGTAGGCAAGATTAAAATGGCAGGATTGGATTTTTTTTTTTTTTTAACCATGTTCGGGTAGGTAAAAGCAGTTCTAAAATCAACTTTTTACTTTGCAGCGCATCACACAGCTACGGCGCCTTCTCCTTCTCCTTTCCCAGAACCTTTTGCCAAGCATCTGCTTAGCTTCTTGATAGGAACTCAAACACTTAAACCCGAATAAATTATAAGATCAGCTTCTCTGATCTTTCCTATATTAAATACAGCATGACCAACAACCATTGATAATTTTGAGACTCATGCTCTAGATTTTATCCATGTATATTTCCACTCAGGTTCACAAATGATTTTCTTGATTTATTTATAAGATTTTTTAGTCTTCTTTTGGCACAAATACACGAATGCCAACAGTAAAACAAATATAAAATAGTTAAACTGGTAAGAAAAGAAGAGTTAAAAATCACACCAAGCTCTCTAATTTAAATTGTCCTTTAATTCAATTGTTTTCTTGCCTAGGTAGATATTGCTATTTCTTTGCATGATATATGTACATGCCATTTATTTTATTGACTTTATTATGCACTGTACTCTTCATTACAGTAGACAGTAGCTTCAGCAAGAAAACCTGGTTTCTTTCCTCCATTTTTCAAAGGGAAAATCTTTCTTGTCCCTTTCCTTTTCCAACTACATAACACCACACTTTAAGGAACATATAGCAGCTCTCCTGACCTGTCTACCTCTGATTTCTGCCACAGCCTTCTCATATAAATTCAGATTAGTCCTTCCTTTTATCTTTTATTCATTCAGTGTTATATATGACCAGTCGACTACAAGGAATATAAATCCTTCCATTTTCCACCATTCAGTCAAAACTGAAGAAGCTTCTTGGATGAGAAGCAAAATGTCTTCAGGGAAAAACAAAGTCCATTCGCCTTTTGAAAAAGCATCTTTGGGACAGTCATGATCTGGATGACTGAGAATCTTCATAGACATTCAGTGTTATATACTGCTTAGCTCAGTGGTTCTCAAACTTTTTAATGCCGCGACCCCCAACCGATCGTAAGTCGAGGACTACTCAACCGGTCGTAAGTCGAGGACTACTCAACTGGTGCAGCACCGTTTGCAGAATGGGACTTTTGGCGGGCTCAGCAGGGCAGAGACAGCCTGGACAATTCCTATTGGCTTTTGAAAGCCAATAGAATTAGACTCTATTCAAGAGAGTCTATTCTATTGGCTTTCAAAAGCCAATAGAATAAAAGGGAGTAGCACAGCTAAGGAAAAGGGGGAAAAATGGCGGACTGCGTTGTTTGGCGACCCCCGTGAAATGGTCATTCGACCCCAAATGGGGTCCCGACCCACAGGTTGAGAACCACTGGCTTAGCTAGTACTCTCTATTCCACAGATAACTTATATTGATTACTAATTGAATATCTGGGCTGGTATTCCATTTCCCTTCTCCAACACTTATTGGCTTGGTGATCTGAAGCATCCATACCCTCTTCTCTCACATACTGTAGGCTGATAAGTTCATTCCTGCAGCACCAAGCTTGAGGCAACAGCCTAGCCAGCCCCACAGTGACTGAGTCTATGAAGTAGCACTTTGGTGCTAGGATTTTGCAAGCCCATTATGGCCCATATGCATTCTCAAGTGTGGTGCAGAGGTAAATACAGGTGGTCCTCAACTTACAACCACAGCTGAGCCCAAAATTTCTGTTGCTAAGTGAGAAATTTGTTAAGTGAGTTTTGCCCCATTTTATGACCTTTCTTGCCACAGTTGTTAATCACTGCACTTATTAAATTAGTAACACGGTTGTTAACTGAATCTGATTTTTCCATTGACTTTGCAAAAAGGTGATCACATGACCCCAGGACCCTGCAATTGTCATAAATATGAGTCAGTTGCCAAGCATCTGAATTTTGATTGCCTCACCAGTTGTAAATGTGAAAAATGGTTATAAGTCACTTTTTTTCAGTGATGCTGTAACTTTGAATGGTCACTAAACGAACTGTTGTAAATTGAGGACTACCTGTATTTTGGACCAGGACTATAGAGGCTTAGATTTTAATCTGCTTTTAACCATGGAAGTTCACAGGGTGACTCTGGGCCTAGCAACTTACAGTCAGCCCATCCTCCCCACGGGAAGGGAAAAGAAAAAGAAATCCTACATGTGCCTCCTTCAGGTCCTTGAGGAAAGGGTGATATAAATCTAACTAACCAACCAGTAATTACATTAAATAAAATTACTGCTATGGCAAAGCAGACATTGTGCATTAATCAATGTATCAGTACCGTTACATGGAGACAGCTTTCAAATTAATGACATTAAATATGGTACCTTTTCTGTGAATTTCTGCACAAACATTTTTTATTGTTAATATAGTTACAGGAGGAAAACTGTCATGTAACACAATTTAAGAGGCAGTTGAAAGCTTTTGACCTTCCCTTGTAGAGAAGAAAAGGATCTTCTTTAATTTGAAAACTGAGAGGGATTTCAAATAGGTCAACCATAAAGGATTAGAATACTGGGCCAAATGGAAACCTTGGAACATGGACATAGGAGAAGTGTCTGCAGCAAATGAACTAGGTGAGGTCATATATGGATGAAATAAAGATGATAATATTTTTCTTTATTGAATAGCGCTAGATCCTCAATATAATACTTGAATATATCTGTTTTACCATCTGCTAGAGTTACACTGGATGGATATAATAATAATAACAATAACAACAACAATAATAAAAGTTGGAAGGGACCTTGGAGGTCATCTAGTCTAACCCTCTACTCAGGCAGGAAACCTTTACCATTTCAAACAAATGGCTGTCACCTACTCATATCACCTACTCAGGAATAACTACTCCCATTTATTGGTTCCTTATCCTTCTTGCAAAAAAATAATAATCTGAGAAATGTTTAATCTTATTAACTCTAATGAGTTAATAGTACCCTTAAAAACATTCTCTAACATCTGAAGAACGCTAAAAATATCAGTTATCAATTGAATCTTTTGTACATTATGAGCGAATGATAAAGATTATTTGAACTGATTTCAGATTGTATGTATATATGTATGTATGAATAAATAATTAATAAATAAAAAATTTACTCAGATTTTGATGCTGAAATGTCCTAGTCCCCTCACAACCCAGTGTGAACTCAGCATTAATCTGTTGAGGGATTCTGTTATAAGGATACAACTGAAGCAAGCAGGATATGGCCAGATCCAAAAGTGAATGTAATCCTCATTTGTTCTCTAATATCTCTTTATTTTCTCTCTATCTAATAAATAGATTTTTAGAACATGTCTAGGTGCTCTTACCATATTTCTCAAATGTCAAGTTGTCCTTTCACGGGGCTTCAAGCAAGGCAAGGTTGCATGAAATTAGCCCAAGGGCTACAAAATAGCACTTTTAATCAAGTCAACCTTGCTATCTATAATATTATCACAAAGCATTTAATTTATCAGTTTAAGTATCTGAAAGTGTTAAAAATTACCTTAGAAATACCTTAATGCATTTGTGATATTACAGACGGTCCAATCTGTGCCCCCCAAAAGATCTACAAACTATTTTGAAATTAAGATACATTCATCATATAAGCTTTTCAAAAAGGAAATGAAGTCTGGTGGTTATGGAGAACTCCAAATCTTTAGACATATGAAGATTGCTCCTAAAATACACTGAGTTTGATTTAGCTCACTTTGTAGCATAATCATAAAATACTCCTTTGCACTAAAGTGGTAAGCTGAATAATTAAAACTTCTGCTTTATTCTGCTCTATTCAAATTTCTGAAATTCTGAATCGAGGTTGTAAAAACATGATTTTTTTTAAAGAAACATAAATGACATCCTCACCATGTACCACTCACGAAATAAAAAAGGGAGACAAAAAAGGGGATAAAATACTATTAGCAATTGCTTAGGACTGAATAATATACATATCTTCAATATAACACCAATATGATTTTTTTTTCATATTAAATTTACTTTTGGGCCTTTTCATAGACCTGAAAATCTATACAAATCCTGGTTCCTAAGTTGCCTCTGGATGAGATGAGTGGCACACCAATCTTATACCGGTAATTGGTGGCACACCAATAAAGATGTCTAGACATCTTTATTTACAAATATCTTCAGACCAGCATTCTTATTTATATTCTTTTCTTAATTCTTTGCTCATCATATACATTCTCAGTTTTTGCAATTTATCTTCTGAACCATGAGAATTTCTTCTTTCTCTTCAGTGTTATTTTCAGAGTATTACCAGTGTTGGTAGAACTGTGTTTTTCTCCTAGATAGATCCTTGATTAGGATATTGTTTTCTGCTTGACTGTCTGGTGTTAAACTCTGCTTATCTGGGTGTGGGCTATTGGAGAGGATGTATTCTTTTTGTTCTCTTCTTGTTTTTTTACTGTCTCTTTTGAATGATGTGTAAATGTAATCTACCTCTAAGTGCCTATTAATGGCTGATTTGTCTGAATGCCAAGCTTACAGGAATTCCCTGGTGTTTTGGGATTTAGGTTTAGGATACAGTTTCCCTGTAGAAACTGGTTGAGTCGTCTGTCCATGTATTGTGACATTAGAGAGTTTTCATCATGTCTTCTGACTGCTACTTGGTATTCACGAATGCACTCTGCTAGTCTTCTATTGTCCTACATAATGGCTGTTATAGTCCTTGGAATGTATGTTGTAGATAAGTCCTCTTTTTACTTCTTGGGCTGATGGTCTTTTGATTTATTTAAGATGTTTTGGAGGGCTTTAGTTGGCTTGTGTGCTACCATGATGCCATGGAGCTGTAATAGTCCATTGTTTCTGAGATGTTTCTGGTATATGTTACTGAACATCCTTTTCATAATCTGTGTTGGTTGTGCTGTAGTGGGTCGAGTAGTCTGACACATTTTGATAAAGTTACGTGGATATTCATTTTTTGGAAGATACTATATAGGCAATCTGTTTCTTTTTTATTGATGTTCTGGGATGCTGCAGTGCATTTGAAAATCCGTCTGAATATTTTTAGTATTGGGGTGGTGTTTATTGGGATATAAGTTTCTTTGTCCTCCATTAAATCTTTGGCTTTTGTATGTATTGTGTTCTGTTCATGATAACTGTGGTTCAGCCTTTGTCTGCTAAGAGGAGGTGACGATCTGGTCCTTCTTTAGGTTTTGGGGGGCTGCTCTACTTTGAATTAGTTCTGATTCTGTGTGTTTCCCTGGTTCTTGATTTTGCTAAATGATCTTGCTGAATTAAGGCTCAAATAATTCCTAGGAGCTTCTACTATCTTTTAACATTTTCAAAATGTCAAAAGCTACATTAGCCTATGCCTAACCCAATTATTGCTTCTATTATTTCATTGTTACAGCTTGTAGGATTTCCGTCTGGCATTTTAATGAGCACCTACAATTGACTGCAATATTAAACAGCAGAGGATAAGACCTCACAGATACTTGCAAAATGGCTCAAGAAAGCCAAAAGGCATAGGAATGTTTGTAAACTGGTCAGTTGCAAGTGTGTTGAATGCAGTTCTCATAAAACAGGGGTGTCAAATTGCCAGCCTGCAGACCGGACATGTGACGTAGAAGCTGCACCCACCCCATTGCCAGCAATGGCAAAACTGTCCCAATATGTTGTGCGACATCATGTGACGTCGCGAGTTTGACATGTCTGTCATAAATTATAGGCTGCTGGTTTGCTGGTCATGATGACTATGGGGATTATGGGACTTGAAATCTCATGTCTTTACATAACATCTGTAGCTGCCCTATTATTTGTTTTCTTATTCTGAATTTGTGAACAACTAAACAGAAATTGTAGGTATGCATTCAAATTCACAGAATGCTGTTGTTTAACTGCACCACACAGAGGTCATGCCAGCTTCTGTTGATTCAGTGATCCATCGAAATGTAATTTGACTAGGGATGCCTAATCTCGACATGAAGTACAGTAGTCCTCCACCTACAACTATAATTGAGTCTAAAATTTCCATTGCTAAGCAAGACAGTTAAGTGAGCTTTGCCCCATTTTACACCTTGCCACAGGTGTTAAGTGAATCGCTGCAGTTATTACATTAGTAAGACAGTTGTTAAGTCAATCTGGTTTTCCCATTGGCTTTGCTTGTCAGAAGGTTGCAAAAGGGGATTACATGACCCCAGGACACCTCAATCCCATCATAAATATGAGCCAGTTGCCAAGCATCCGAATTCTTATTACATGACCATGGGAATGGTGCAACGGTTGTTAAATGAGAAAAATGGTCATAAGTCACTTTTTTTCAGTGCCATTGTAACTTCAAACTTTCAGTAAATGAATGGTTGTAAGTTGAGATCTTTGGCAGGAGGGGGAGTTAGATACAGAAGTAGTGGCAGCTTGTGGTTCTGAGTCCCACGTTCTTTTATATCCTGTGTGCCTTTGTGTCAGTCTTGACACTTGCCTGTGGTGAAGCAACATTCTGGAAAATGATTCATATCAGAACAAAACAAATGTTAAAAGTTGAATTATCATTTCAACATCATTTCAACCCAGTAGCCTTAGGCATGAAGGCTACTGGGTAACTCTGGACCAGTGGCTTTCTCTCTGCCCTAGGAGAAGATGAAGGCAAACAAGTTATGAAAATGTTGCCAAGAAAACTGCAGTGACTAGCCTAGGCCATCGTCAGAAGTCAAGATGGACACCAAGGCACAAACAATAAAACAAAACAAATCCCTAAGGTATACTGAATTAGCTTTCTACATCCTAACTACTGCTAGGAGGACATACATTCTTTTACTAGAAAAGCTTTTTGATCTCCACATTGGAAGAATGCCTATACAGATTTCTAGATATCCACATAGATATCTAGAATAACTTCGTATTTTAAAAGTAAATCTGATACAGAATTTAATTGAATTTAGAAACCATTCCTAGACTGCAGATTAACATATGGATTTGTACTGCACACAGCTCAAAATTTAGTTTCTTCACGTTTAGAGTCTGTGCTTCAATTTTATAGGATTTTCAAATCAGAATAGGCTTTTAGTAATATGGACAGAACTTTCCAATTTCTCTCAGTGATTAATACCATTTTGATCATGGTTACTGATATTCATGCTTTAATGTTTAATACTGATTTTTTTTTAGTCTTTGAAATGATATATTCAATGACTCTTAATTAACTAATGATATATTAGAAACAAAACCTTCCATTACATTTATAAATCCCTTATGTATTTGTATATTGTTCATTTAAACCTTTTTTTCCTCCTCCTTTTCCTTTGTTTGTTTTGTAGGATTTTTATATTATACTAGCCAACCATTGACCTGTGGGCTCATTTTTCTTTCTACACCTAAGTTCACATTGTCTCCCTTCCCTTCATGACTGTCAGGAGAGCCCCAGGAACCACCTCCTTCTCCTCCTTGGCTGACCCACAGAACTGCCTGCCACTTTGCTGGGGGGAAGGAGAATGATGGGAGCTCCAGATTGTGAGGAAAACTGCATCCCCCCACTCCCCACTCCAGCCTGTCTCCAAGAGTCCCCTTTCTCCAGGGGAGAAAGAGTGCTCACCACTGGTGTTCCTCAGCCAGTCCTACCTTGCCAGCAGGCATCCAAGTCGCTCCCTCATTCTTCCCTGGCTGGCTACCACTGCTAAGAATTTTGGAGCCAAGATTTCGTCCATGGCTCCAAAGCAGCCAATGGCTGCTTGTTCATCAGACCTCGCCACCAGATGACTGGGGCCAAAGGCCAGGAAGCAAGGAAGAGGGTGGGCATATGTCACTGCCCCCTTCCCTTATGCCACGTAAATGATGGGTTTCTGGAAAATGTAATCAGAAGATGTGGTGGCCATAACTTTGTCAAATTTCAATCTCACAGGAATCACAGCCACCAGATTTTGGATGCATTCAGTAAATCGGCCATTTGAGGCACGTTGATTCAAAAATAGTTGCTCTACGACAGTGTTTCCCAAACTTGACAATTTTAAGGCATGTGGACTTCAACTCCCAGAATTCCACAGCCAGTGTTGGGAGTTGAAGTCCTCATGCCTTAAAATTGTCAAGTTTGGGAAACACTGCTCTATGATATACCATTTCACCCAGCTTTAAGTTAAAAAGTATCAAACAGAAACAAGAGTTTTAGTTGTATATAATTACTAGTATATGGTATAGTTATTTGTTATATCTCCCCAATTTGTTATCCCCCATTCCGCTTGTTTGAATGATATTCTCTGCGCTGACACCAAAATACCTCAAATCACCTCCTGATGAGAACTCCTCTTATCTATAAAATCCTGACCATCTCTGCCCCATGGGAAAATGCTAGAGTAGTCAGGTTACAGTCTTAGCCGTTGGACTTGCCAACTAGCTGGAATGCAGCCAGAACCCTTTTCTGACCTCTCCTGCTCCCTGGACACGTTCTCAAACACTTTAATTTTTCACTTCAGTAACTGATGGGGCTATAACCAACAGTATCTCTCCAGGTGAGGTGGGTGACATATAAGTTCGTTCAATCAATCAATCAATCAAGCCAATCATACCATCATGATATTAGTTATTTAATTTTATGAAAATGCCACCTGAGCTAGGAAAAAGCATACACAGCACTTTGTATGGATGGAAGGGAACCTGGGACTTACTCCAATATGTCTGGATATATCTCCTGGATATACAGGTAGTCCTCAACATACGACCACAATTCAAGCCAAAATTCCTTTTGCTAAGTGAGGCAGTTGTTAAGTGATTTTTGCCCCATTTCCACAGTTGTTAAGTGAATCACTGCAGTTAAATTAATAACACAATTGCTAAATGAATCTGGCTTCTCCATTGACTTTGCTTGTCAGAAGGTCACAAAAGGTGATCACATGACTCAGGGACACTGCAACCATCATAAATGTGAGTCAGTTGCCAAATTTTGATCATGTGACCATGCACGCGGCAACTGTCGTAAGTGTGAAAAGCGGTCACTTTTTTCAGTGCTGCTGTAACTTTGAACAGTCACCAAATGAACTATTGTAAGTCGAGGACTATCTGTATCCTCAATATGGAAAGTTCCTCATCCTGAGCCTTACTACACATTACAGCAATATATGTGTACTGTGAAGGCTCCTCCCCATACTTTCATATGATGCTTCTTTAACTCAAGCCCATCACATGCAAGCTGCTGTTTCTCATCAGGATTTGATTTTTTTTTTTTTTGCTTTTTGTTAGTAATCTAGTCAGTTGACACTACCTGGTTTAACACATATTTAGTTGTTAGAACATTAATATAGAGCTAAAATGTTTCCTCTTTGCTAGTTATGAAGTTGGTTGAAATAGAAACAGGGGAAACAAAATAATATCCAAATTTATTTATTGCCATTTTCACATTCCTACTGTCACTGAGCGCTGCTTTGTAGAGTGCTTCAAACTCCGATGAAGCCAAATGTTGAGAAACATATGGAGCCTCCTGCTCTTACCCTTATCCTATCCTGAGCTGATGATGGGGAACATATGAAGGGGTATGGTAGCTAGGAATATACAAACTGACATCCCCCCCATGGATTACACTTTTTAATGTCTTTTAGATAACTTTTCTGGAGCAGAATGTCAAAAGATGGCAACCTCTTGGATACCTGTTGTAAAAACTGTTTACTACTAATCTTGGTACTCACTAGTTCCTATTGTGATCTTACCTGCAGATGGCTGGAAAGCACTCTTGCAGTCCTTTCTTCTTGACTAATGAGCCTTCAAGACAATACATGATGATGTCCATTACCTATGGACAACAACAACAAATTATTGTTGAAAATAATTAAATCCTTAGAACAGTATTTTGCAACTGTACTTTGAGGAGCCATAATAAAAAATAGGAAAGAAAACTCCATATATCATTACCATATACAGCAGGAATATTGTTACTTAAATAGCAGTAGTAACATTATAATTCAATATCGTTTGTAAACTGCTCAAATTTCTGTTATTTCAGGATTGTTAAAGAAGGCAGCATTCTGAATCCCAAAGGAAAGTACTTTCCATTGGAAGACAAAGAGAAGAGGTTTAACAGACCACATCCCATGCATTATTCCAATCACATGCAGCAAAATTCATACATCAAAGAACTTTCAAGCAGCCCCTGTATTACAAAACTTAAAAAATGCAATAGCCAGGATTTTGGGATTTGACTATTACATGCAAAAAGAATGCAAATGTGTTAAAACTGAGATACAAATAGCCTCTGTGGATGAAACATAGCACACATAGAAAGAAAAATATATATATTTGTGATTAGTACCAATGTCCACTGCCTTATGCTAAGTCTGCATCTAGCAGAAATATTCTCTGTGCTGATTATTAGCAACTCTGTGAGCTTCAGATATAATTTTCAGTTGTAGAGAAACCTGGATTGATTGGTATTCTTCATGAAAAGCAATACTTTAAATTAACCATGCATAATACTTCATATAGCACTTAAAAATATAATTGGGAAGGTGCCATTTTAGATTACAATATCCAATTCCCTGTCTAGTACAAGATTCCAAATTGAAAAAAATCCCTGACAGATGACTGTCCAACCTCTCTTTGGAGAGCTTCAGTGAAGGGGAGAACCTTTTTGGTAGTTGATCCATTGTTAGATCTGCTCTTCCTTTTAGAAAGATTTTCCTATTATTCAGCCTGAATCTAACTTCCTATAACTTTACAAGCCTTCGGGTTCTTGAAGAGCAATAGCATGTCCCCACCCAGTTGACTTTTCTGAAGCTAAACATACCCTGGTCCCTCAAGTCTCTTCTCATAAAACTTTGTTTCCAAGATCCATTTCACCCTTGTCCTGTTATGAATCTCTTCCAGTTTGCTTGAATCTTTTTCAAAGTATGATGTCTAGAACATATGCACACTCAAGGTGGATTGTGACCAATACAGAATACAAGGAAACTACTTCTATGATTTGAAAACTATTTCTATTGTGCCTTGTGAATGACTGTGTCACACTGTTGACATATATTCAGTTTGTGATCAACTACTGCAGGGGTCTTCAAATTTGGCCCTTTTATGACTTGTGGACTTCAACTCCCAGAATTCCTGGCTGAGGAATTCTGGGAGTTGAAGTCCACACGTCATAAAACGGCCAAGTTTGAAGACCCTTGAACTACTGTATATTCTTTTTTTACATAATGTTATCAAGCCAGGTATCCCCTTCCCTATTAATATGTATTTGACTTCTTTTTCCTAGATGATGGACTTTGCAGTTATCGCTATCAAATTTCACTCTTATTATTTTTAGTTTTCTATTATACCTACAGTAGAAATATCATTATATACTAGCTACCCAATACATTTTGTTCCATAAGGTAAAAATTCCAGTTTTTGCACAAATTTTCTGGTATTTCAAATCTCTACTCAGAGAAATGTTGAGTTAACCCTCTTCCCTACAACTGACTAGATCAGTTACTTGGGCTAGAATGTTTATAGAACACACTAACTTCCTTCCCTTGACCCAGTTAAGAATGTTATGGGAATACCAGCTTTGAGAATAGTTTTACAACCATGCTCCTTTGGCCCTCAATTAATTTGCTAAATGTTGTATGGCACTTTGCCAAATGCTCTAGTGAAATCAAGGTATAGTCTGTATGCAACATTCCCACAATCTATTAAGAATGTCATTCAATCAAATGTTTTAAAAACAATATTAGTCTGGCAAGACTTGCTGACCTTTTGTAAGTACTTAAATCATTCAATGCCTTTGAAATGATTTTGCAATGACAATGATCTGTTGTACCAACAGGTAGGCCAATGCAAAGGCTCTTATCTTCTTCAACACAGGATAAACTCAAACATAAATACCAACTGTTATTAACATGGAAGCATAATAAAATATTGACATACCTCTACAAGGAGATCCACAACATCTGTTGGCATTTTTTCAATAAGGATTTCAATAACCCTCAGAATTTCTCCCTTTGCTCGAGCCAAGGTGGTGGTATGAATATTTTGTTGAGACTGTGTATTAGCCTGAAGAGCAGTGTGTCTGTGTACCTACAAAAACAATGGTATTTAAGAGTTGATCTGTAAGTTGTCCAGAGTCTACTTATAGGGGAGATGGCCGGCATAAAAATTGAACAATAAATAAATAAATATTTAGGGGTAATTGCAAATATTTTCTATTAAAATTTCATGGGTTCACAATCAAAAGTAGAACATTAGGACTTTGTTTATTACTCTGCTTTTGGCATGTATACATGGCCCCAGTTTGTTAACTTTATTCAGTGCTACAACTATACTTCTTAATAAGTTACTGTTGCAAATGAGCCCAAATACATATTCATTTAGTGTGGTGCAGATTGTTGTTCCATGTTTTAATTAGAACATATATGCTTAGGAGTACTGGTAATTAATTCATCATAACTTGTGAATTATGAAGCTCTAATTTGCAATACAAATGTCAGGTGTGAAAAATCAGGTTTATACATGAAGGTTCAATTAACTGTTTTATTGCTAAACAGCTTGTGAATAGAATCTTCTCAATTGATGGTCAGAGCCTGCTAAGAGTTAGATAAGGGTCAATAGCATCAAGGGGAATTGGATTTAATTTCTTGTAGCTATGTAATGATTCTAGGCTGATCCTTCTCTTCACTCCACTCCCATGTTCTGCCATTCCGTTTCCTACTACATACCCTCAAAGAATTTTTACAAGATTAATCATTTATATTCTGCATAATGTAATTGGGCAAATGGGTTCATTCTAGGGGCATTGCCGAGGTGGCGCAGCAGTTAGAGTGCAGTACTGCAGGCCACTTTAGCTGACTGTGTTCAGCAGGTCAGTGGTTCAAATCTCACCGGCTCAAGGTTGACTCAGCCTTCCATCCTTCCGGGGTAGGTAAAATGAGGACCCAGATTGTTGGGGGCAATGTAAATATATATATACATTGCTTACTGGTGTACACTGCTTAGAGAGTGCTTGCACTTAAAGCGGTATATAAGTCTCATAAATAAATAAATAAATTGCAGTGAATTAGGTCAAATATATACTACCACTATATCAAGATTATACTATCACTATAGATTACAAAATATTTTGTCCTCTTCAAGTCTTCTAATGAACACCTTTTTATATTTGCGCTGACATGGGGTAATTACCTACATTTATTTGGTTCATAAATTACAAAAATGAATAAAATGATTGGAAGAACAAAGATGCTAGAACAATATATTAATATATGTTACAGTGTATTGTTGTCTTGAGTATTGGGAAGCAGACTAATTTAATTCTCCATTATGGACCATTTATTTAGTCCTAGGAACAGTAATAAGAGGTAATAGGAATCTATCTTGCTTCCTAGTTGCATAACTTCACTCTAGATTTTTTGCTTAATTTTACTAAAAAGTGACAGAAATATTATGTAAAATAAGGTAGTATTCCATTTTCATCTATCGTTGGCAATGTGTTAATAATTTAGAGCCTCAGAGATTCTAATAAATATGTACATATATTTGTTTTGTGTATAGAAAGCCTGACTGAAGCATTGCTTTTCTCCTCTTTTCGCCTTAAAAAAAAATTACATACAGGTAGTCTTCGACTTGTAACAGTTCATTTAGTGACCATTCAAATCACAAGGGCACTGAAAAAGGTGACATGACCATTTTTCACACTTACAACCATTGCAGAATTCCCATCATCTCGATAAAAATTCAGATGTTTGGCAACTGGTTGGTATTTAAGACGGCTGCAATGTCCCGGGGTCATTAACCAATTATTTACTTAGCAACATGAATTTTGGGCTCAATTGTGACTTGAGGATTACCTGTGCTTTGCGTAGAGGCCATGCAATTGTGAGACATCACAATACGAAACCTCTTGCATGTACTCTGTATGCATAGATGCAAATTCAGACATATATGGAATCAAGCCATTTTGAAATAAAGGGAAAAAAGTAAACAGATGCTCAAATGTTTCTTGTTTCTAAACAATGAAGGCATTGTTCCTCCTGCAGTGAGGCACATGTGCAAAGGTCTTCTGCTTACCTCCTTGGCAATAGTAGTGATGAAAGCGGGTGGTCTGGCCGTGGCAATGAGGGAGAGAGCATGTCGTGCAGAGCGGGCGGAGTCCGCTGCTGGACTCAGAGGCAGCCCCATTTTGATGCTAATCAGAGATCAGACAAAGAAGGACGGGTTGGGGGGGGAGGAAGAAAAGAAGCATTAGAAATATAGACTGAAAAGATTAGACACAGCTTATAATGTCAGTTCAAGGTCAACGGGAGCACTCAAACAGTTAGAATATAATGGACTTCCAACAATGAGCAGTGATTAGAAGTCAGGGTGTTCTAGCAACTAATACAAAATCAAATAATTAACCGTGAAGATTGAAAACAGTATGTGCATCTGTCCAAAGTGTTAAAAAGGCCTTGTTAACAAATTATCTAGCTGTAGTACTGAATACATATCAATAACCAAGATCAACACAAATATATACTGCCATGCCAAAACAACAGCCACACATTTTATATCTAAGCTAAAGTTTAAGAGACAGTATATACTGTACATAGCCCTGCTGTTATTGCTATACCAGTCAAATAATCATATTTTTGGAATAGCTGACATTGGAACTACTGATTTCAGTATGGTCATCTTCTTTTCAAGTGCAGTTATTCTTAAAAAAAAAGTGTGCCTTTGTAACAAATACAGTCCTTAGATCTGAAATCACTTACAGTACATTGCTGGGAGAAATAAAAGACAGAACAACTGCTTCTTTCTCACATGTCCAATGCGTTTCCTCTTACATACTAAGAAGCAGAAAACAGAAAATTTGCAACTCTGATCAAATTCAAATACTTCAATAGTAACATATCAGAACCGTTATTCTATTGGCTATGCAGACATTAGCACTGCATTTGACCCTGTGAATGACTTTATGTAGGTCTTTCCAAGTGGGTGCATTAGCCTGGAAGCCAATAGCTAACATGGTAGGTGTAAAGAGCATTAAAAAAAAAGATTCTAGTTTTAGCTCCATTGTGATCTGAGGGTACTAGAGTGTAGGTGTAAACCCATCCTCCCAGTCTCCAGTGAGTTTGCTCAAGGTACTCTTTTTCTTTTACTGTTTGATTTTTCAAACAATAGTCTGTTCCCCTTCACATCTGAGAGTTGATCAGCCAAGCAGGAGCGGGAAGGACTCCCTAGACAGCAGCCACAATATACATATATTGTAAGTTAGGGCCACATCTTAGGGACTTCCAGTGCCAATTAGCATATTCCAGCAAATAATAATTGAGAAAGAACTTTGATCATGGAAACATTATTTGTTGGTGGAAGAAACTTCATATATGAGTCTCACTTTTAAAAACAAATATCAAACTAAGAAAATACTTAAGAAAAGGAAAATATAGGAGATCAGCAGATTGAGCCTGAGGGAGGGGTAAAATGCATCATCAGTCTAAGTACCTTCCCGCCCACAAGAGATCTAAGTCCAGCCCACCTTGAATTCCAGTGACTCTTTATCTACCCCCAATTTTCTTTGAACCTGAGTAGTTTAGATTATTGTAGAGAGCTTTAGCATACAATAAATCTATATTTTTTTCTGAACTACCTGGACTCCTGGTTTTTTGTGCTAGACAGGAAAGGTAATTTAGAGTTTTCATAAATAAGAATAATAGATAGAACTGTCTTTTTTACTTGGATATTTCAAAATTTCTGATGCCCATCATTGTCTTATTGATCAGTAATACCTACAGGTAGTCTTCATTTATTGATCATTTGCTCAGTGTCTGAAGTTACCATGGCCTGTATAAGGAGGCTTACTGTCAGTCCTCGAAGTTGCAGCTGTTGCAACATCCCTGCAGACACACAATCACGATTCTAGCACTTGGCAACCAATGTGCAGAACATTTACAAATGATCACAGTGACCCTCCGTCATGCAATTGACATGTGCAACCTTTGCAGCAGCTTCCACAAAGCAAAATCAATGGGGAAGCTGGCAGGAAGTTGCAAGTCACTGTCATGTGACAATACCCTTAACAACTCGTAATGATTCGCTTCACGACCACAGGCAGAACTGACAAATGGCCATCATAAGAATCAGTCCATTTTCCCAATCAAACACGTACCATAACTTTTAAAACTTTTTAACATTTTTAAATTTCTTTTCAGAATTTGAGTCTATGTGAATATTTTCTCACCATTACAGATGAGCTCTGTAATGCTAGATATGGACAAATTTTGAGAGGTAGAGCGGAGGTGGGTGGATGTTGGGCAGAAACACCAGAAAGAAGCAATTAATTTAAAATACAATCTCCTTAATGTACCTTTCTCCTGTTTTATAACTTTCACACCTTAAAAAAAAAATCAGAATGTGTTCTTTTCCTTTCCTCCTCCTCTTCCTGATGGGAAGGCATAGATTTTTTTGAAAGCAACAGGCTCCTTATTAATTCATTAATGACACTCTCTAGTGTTAGTATGTGGCCAGAGATTAGCCCCCTCCTGTAGCTGAGCCAGCTGGTCTATCAGAGCAAGAAGTTCGCATGAAGGAGCAGGCACACTGCCCTGAGACTGTGGTCCAAATTAAAAGCAGATGCAAAGCTAATATGAACAAGGGAGTGTTGAGTTGGTCCCTACAGTCGGATTTTTATTGAGGGATTTTACTCCTCTACATGGTCAATACAAAGAGCACCTTCCACACAGGCAAGGTAGTTGTTATGCAGGGAACCTGCTGATGGTAAAGTAATAAATGTCACTGTAGCTTGTATGTATGGATTCGGGCAAGGGGACAATAGTAGAACATCTGCTGCGCATAGAGAGAAGTCGGGTCTGTCAAAGGGATCAGAGAGCAGCTGAGAAAGCTTCCTCTGCAGAAGGAAAGCAAAAAGCAAAAGCAAACCCAAAACCGGAAGAGTCAGAAAAGAGGACTGTGGGCTAGAGGTGCAAATAAATTGATCAGAGATAAGACAGTTTTCTTATATTTATGGGATATTTATTTATTTATTTTCATTAATTTATAGCCAATCATTTCTTATTTTTATAAATAATTCAAGGCGGCAGATACACACAATACTCGTCTTCTTTTCTCCACAACCACAGACCTGTGAGGTAAGTTGGGCTGGGACAGAGTGACTGGTCCAAAGTCATCCAGCCTGAGGCGGGATTAGAACTCGCCATCTCCTGGCTTCTAGCCTGGTGTCTTAACCGCTAGAGCACGGGCGTCAAACTCAATCGCGTCACGTGATGTAGTGTGACATATTGCGATGTTTTTGGCCTTTGCAGAGCCAAAACAATTGGTGGGTGTGGCCTGCGCATGATGCATCCAGCCCATGGGCCACCAGTTTGACACCCCTGCGCTAGAGAAAACTGGCTCTCAAACATCACTGTTTCCTTGGAGCAGTTACTCTCAACTATTGATGGTACTAGAGAGTATGTCACTGTGGTGATTTCTGTTTATACAAGTGATATTAAACAGATATATGGAGTGTTGCAAAATACTCTGTTTTCATCATGATGCCATAATGCAAATACCGTGAAGCACCACAGGTATTTGGTCTGTTCAAGTCAAAAGTCTGCTGTGTCATAATCTGGTAAATTAAGGTTTCATATTATGAATCTGTTTCAGTTATATAAATGTTATTTCCCCAAAGTTTTCAGTTATATAAATGTTATTTCCCCAAAAATATTCTATAGCAAAATCAAATACACTATCTAAATGCAATATTTATCGATAAAGGGTTCAGATTTCTTAGGAATTTTCACCTTTATTTTTTATAATTTTATTTTGCAAAACTAAGTAAGAAAACAAACACATAAAAATCATCACAATAAAAGACTTGAAAATGAGATTATAAACAGAATGACTTCTTTGGTTATATTTTTTTTCTGTTCAAATGTTGGCAAAAACCTCACATCAACCATCTGTTGTGGAAAATCAGGTGTAAATTTTACCTCTGAATGTTATATTACAATTCTTTTAACTAATCCCCTGAACCCTTTCACCCCCCCCAAAATCCCACTCCAGTATTTAATAACTTGATTGGTTACAAACACTAGAGATATAGTATTTGTATGAATATAGAAGAATACAAGTATATAGCTCTGTATACACAGCAATTGATCTGGGGTCATATTAATAATCCCATCAACCCAAAATACAACAATAATAAGACAAGACCAAACTATATGAGTTAATGTTTCAATTCTTGAGTTAATCATCAAGGAGTTAATAAACTAACTCTTAATAAATATTTCCTAAGATGTCTAGTGCACATGAACTAAAATGCTATGTTATATTAACCTCATTTTAGGATCCTACTGTATGAAGATTAAAATGACCCTCTATTGGTCTACCAGGATGGTACATTCAGGATTTTTTACTTGTTACTGTGTGAAATCGCCTCTTTTGCCCCAGAACAATGGATAAACTCTTGGCAACTTTAAAGAAGTTGACCATATTATAGTTACAAAATTGTTACAGCCGGTAGCTTTCATCAAAAGTCTGCATCTTTGAAAAAAGGTAGCCAGTAGCACTTATACCGCTAATTTTTAAAAAAAAAGATGTGAAAAAGAGACACCAAGAAAGATGAAATTGTTAAAAAAAGGAAATAAAGAAGAAATTGAGCCCTTGAAACGAGCCTTTCTGTTTGTTTTTTGGAGAAATAACCTGCTGATAAACAGGAAAATTGGCAGCATTTAATGTCCAATATTCCATTAAGTTGGAAAGAATAACACGGCATGGCAAGCATGCAGAGAATGGTTTTTGGTTTTTTCCCCAACTCTTTACCAATCACAGCCCTATGAGGTACATGTACTGTCTTCTATAATAAAGCGACACCTCATATTTATGTTTGTGTTTATGTGTGTATTTCTGTTCTTTCCTTTTACATTTAGGTAGGAATATGCACTGGGGAGCATGTATGAAACCTAACATGATTAGAAGGAAAGAAAACTAAGAATGATTAGTGAATCACTACACAACTGACTATTATATAGGGATGTTCTGTGAATCACTACCCAACTGACTATTATATAGGGATGTTCTGGGGGTAGTTTTTCTACATGATTTTCTACATGGCCTTGGATGAATCTGGTCCATTGCTCTTTCTTTCATTAGCTTTTCCCACCACACCAAATTTTATCCATTTTTTTTCAGTTTCTGGATAGGGTT